TGGGCAACTATGTGGCAAATGAGGTTTAATGTTGATAAATGTAAGGTTCTGCACTTGGGGGGCTAAGAATATGCATGTATCATACATACTAGGGGGGGTACAACTGGGGGAATCAATGGTGGAGAAGGATCTGGGGGTTCTGGTAGATCACAAGCTTAATAATGGCATGCAATGCCAAGCTGTGGTTTCTAAAGCGAGCAAAATCCTCTCTTGTATTATAAGAGGTATAGACTCCAGAGAGAGATATCATATTACCCCGATACAAATCATTAGTAAGACCTCATCTGGAATATGCAGTTCAATTTTGGGCACCAATTCACAAAAAGAACATTGGGGAACTGGAGAAAGTACAGCTGCCCTAGACTCTCTGGCACCCCTAACCACACGCATCATCAAACCCAGACCGCTTCAACCCTGGCAGACCGACAGCACTAAACGCCTCAAACGTCGCAGTCGCGCACTGGAGAGACTGTGGCGCAAAACCAGGTCCCCTCATACTTTCTCCCTCTACAAATCTGCATTTCTTATCTACACCTCCTCCCTCCACGCCGCCAAGCAGGCCTACTTTGTTAACCTAATAAACACCCTCTCCTCCTGCCCCCGCCGACTCTTCTCCACCTTCAACTCCCTGCTCTCCCCCCCCCCTCCTCCACTCAGTACCTCTCTCACCGCCCACGAGATTGCCACCCATTTCCACAACAAGATTGACGCTATCCGTAAGGACATCGTCAACTTGCAATCTACCTCCCCACCTAGCCTCCTCGCCCCCGTCACCCCTTCATTTCCCCCCTCCTCTGCCCTCACAACCGCACTGCCCCCCTCCTCTCCCAATGCCCCGCCCACCATAACCCCCCCCGCACTGCACTCCCTCAGCCCTGTCACTACTGAGGAAGTCGCCAAAGTCCTCTCAAAAGCCCGCCTCACTACCTGCCCCCTGGACCCTATCCCCTCTCAACTCCTCCGGTCACCCCCCTCTTCCCTCATCCGCTCCCTCACCCACATCTTCAATCTCTCTCCCTCTCTACTGGCGTATTCCCCTCCCCCCTAAAGCACGCGCAGATCACCCCCATCCTCAAAAAAGCCCTCCCTGGATCCCGCGGACCCCAACAACCTCAGACCCATCTCTCTGCTGCCACTTACCTCCAAGCTCCTTGAACGCATAGTCTACGATCGCCTAAGCGCCCACCTTACAGACAATAACCTCCTTGACCCTCTACAGTCCGGCTTCCGTCCCCTACACTCCACTGAAACTGCCCTCCTCAAAATCACTAACGACCTACTCAACGCCAAAGCCAAGGGTGACTACTCTGTCCTCCTTCTCCTGGACCTCTCTGCGGCCTTCGACACAGTTGACCACCCCCTCCTCCTTAATAAACTACTCTCCCTTGGCATCGGAGATACTGCTCTCTCTTGGTTCTCATCCTACCTATCCCGACGACGCTCCTTCAGTGTCACCTACAATGGTGCCACCTCCCCCTCCCTCCCCCTCTCTGTTGGGTCCCCCAAGGCTCTGTCCTTGGACCCCTTCTCTTCTCCATCTACACCTCCTCCCTGGGCAAACTCATACAATCTCACGGCTTCAACTATCACCTCTATGCTGACGACACCCAAATCTACCTCTCCACCCCTCACCTCACCCCCACTATCTCCGCCCGCATCACTCACCTCCTAAATGACATCTCAGACTGGATGTCGCTACATTTCCTCAAGCTCAACCTCTCCAAAACCGAGCTCCTCATCTTTCCCCCTGCCAACACCCCCCCCCCCCCCATCCTATCCATTCATCACCAACAACTCCACTATCACTCCCGCCCCGAAAGCCAAAGTCCTTGGCGTCATTCTTGACGCGAACCTCTCCCTCCAACCGCATGTCAAATCACTCACAAACACATGCAGGCTCCATCTTCGCAACATTGCCAAGATACGCTCCTTCCTCACCCCAGACACCAACCAAACTTCTAGTACACCCCCCTCATCATCTCACGCCTTGACTACTGCAACTCCCTCCTCACTGGCCTAACCCAAGTGCAGGCTCTCCCCGCTCCAGACCATCCTGAACTCAGCTGCCAGACTCATCCACCTCACCACAACCCCGCTCCACCCCTGCCACCTGCCCCCTCTGCCTCTCCCTCCACTGGCTCCCGATTGCCCAACGCATCAAATTTAAACTCCTAACCCTGACCTACAAAGCCGTTCACCAAACACTGCCCCTGACTACCTCACCAACCTGATCACCAAGTACCACCCTACCCGTACCCTTCGCTCCTCACAGGACCTCCTTCTATCCTGCTCCTGGTCTCCTCCTCCAATGCACGACTGCAGGACTTCTCCAGGTCCTCCCCCATCCTCTGGAACTCACTGCCCCAATCCATCAGACTGTCGCCTTCCCTATTCACATTCAGGCGCTCCCTCAAAACCCATCTCTTCAGGGAAGCCTACCCTACCCCACCCTCACCTAACGGTCATCCTCCCTCATTCCTCCCACCACTTCATCCCCCTCAGCCACTTCCTACTGTACCTTTACCCCCTCCCTCCTAGATTGTAAGCTCGTAAGAGTAGGGCCCTCTTACCCCTCGTACGTTGTTGTTTGTTTGTTGTACTGTGCCATGTATTGTCCCCCCTATTGTACAGCGCTGAGCAAACCCTTTGGCGCTATATAAACTCGATGTAATAATAAGAAGAAGAAGAAGAAGGGCAACCAAACTGATAAGAGGCATGGAGGAGATCAGCTATGAGGAAAGATTAGAGGAACTGAATGTATTCTCTCTTGAGAAGAGGAGATTAAGGGAGGATATGATCTCCATGTATTATACATAAGGGGGGATATGATCTCCATGTATAATACATAAGGGGGGATATGATCTCCATGTATAATACATAAGGGGGGATATGATCTCCATGTATAATACATAAGGGGGGATATGATCTCCATGTATAATACATAAGGGGGGATATGATCTCCATGTATAATACATAAGGGGGGATATGATCTCCACATGTATAATACATAAGGGGGATATGATCTCCATGTATAATACATAAGGGGATATGATCTACTTGTATAATACATAAGGGGGGATATATCTCCATGTATAATACATAAGGGGGATAAGGATATGATCAACATGTATAATACATAAGGGGGGATATGATCTCCATGTATAATACATAAGGGGGGATATGATCTCCATGTATAAATACATAAGGGGGATATGATCAACATGTATAATACATCCATGTATAATACATAAGGGGGGATATGATCAACCATGTATAATAATACATAAGGGGGGATATGATCTCCATGTAATAATACATAAGGGGGGATATGATACATGTAAAATACATAAGGGGTGATAACTGATCAACATAAGTATAACATGATACAATATCATCAGTGGTTCATATAGTGAACTCGGTGTAGAGTTATTCACCCTGAGGTCGTCACAGAGGACAAGGGGGCACTCTTTACGTCTGGAGGAAAAGAGATTTAATCTCCAAATACGGAAAGGTTTTCCTCACAGTAAGAGCTGTGAAAATGTGGAATAGACTCCCTCAAGAGTTGGTTCTGGCCAGCTCAGTGGATTGCTTTAAAAAAGTCCTGGATTCTAACTGGATACTAACATTTATAGGTAAAGTTGATCCAGGGAATATCTGATTGCCTCTCGGGGGATCAGGAAGGAACTTTTTTCCAGCAGGTGCAAATAGGATCATGCTTTGCTGGGGGGTTTTTTTTGCCTTCCTCTGGATCAACTGTGGATATAATATTATAACTTTTTTTATGGTTGAACTGGATGGACTTTTGTCTTTTTTCAGCCAGAGACTATGTAACTTCTTTCACGTTGTCATTATGGGCTATTGTTTTTAGAATGTTGAGGAAAAAATTAATTTAATCCATTTTGGAATAAGGCTGTAAGATAACAAATGTGACAAAAGTTAAGCGCTGTGAATAGTTTCTGGATGCGCTGTAAACACAGGTCTCTCTGCTGTCAGCAAAGACATGCTGCTTTGTGTCTCCCTGCACAGCATTTCTCCCTAGTATAGCACAGCACACAGTGTAACACACACAGCACACACAGTTAACCCTTTGATTGCCCCAGATGTTAACCCCTTTCTGCCCAGTGTACGTGCTTTTCATTAGCACTGATCACTGTATTGTTGTCACTGGGGATGTCAATGGCACTCAGTCCCCCCCAATGTTAGAATACCTGCCGCAGTTCCGCTATAAGTCGCTGATCACTGCCATTACTAGTGTATAGGGATAGAGGTGATCCTTACTATATCCTACATAATTATATATTATAATAAAATAAGAATAATAAGAGTGTTCAATTGAGTTTATATTTTTGTGTCTTAGATTAAGGTATAATATATGAGACATGGTATTATTACTAGCATATTTTGATAAGTTGATATATATATAAAATCATACTCCATTAGCAGCTAAAATTGCTTCTGCTGCTAAAAAGGCTTTTAACCTCCCTAGTGGTCTGATTATGTCCATATTTCTGTGCTCACAGCAGTACATTTTTTTGCATGGAAATCTGTATTTTTTTTTATTGTAGGCCTGTAATTTTTAGGAATAGCTCACTGAAATATGTCCGAACAAGAGTCTAGTAAACATCCCGGGTATGATAAAACTTGAAACACGAAATCATAAATTATAATTTAATCAATAATAAAAAATAATATAATAACAAATTTAATTCAATATTGTAATCAACCCAAAAATACTGAAATTTGAAATATAGCGCCAAGTTCGCACATCGCTGAGCAAAGTCGCAAAATCGTTTTCAGTGTCTGATGAGGAATTTCCCCCACGAATCATTATCACTCAATTCTGCAAGTGGCTCTAATTTACTATCACTGTTCTCTAGCCGGTCTAAAACCGATTTTGACCTAAAGGGACGCTTTTTGGACGCCATGGACGCTTCTCAGTTTCCAGGCAGAAAGAACAGTAATAATGCAGGCAGGGCACAGGACAAAGCACTCGGGACAAAATGTATGTGAAATGGTTTGATACAGTAATGTTTTACTATGTGATTTTAGTGAATGTCACTTTTTGTCATTTTCAAATTTCCCGCCGTTCCATCCCCGTATGTCCCGACGTCGCAGGGAACGGAACCCAGAAGACAGATGCCGGCATCCGCTGGAGGACATTGCCGGGTACACCGCAGGAGGGACATCGCGGGAGCGCGCAGGACAAGGTATGTGATCGAAGGATCCCTGAGCAACGCTGCAAGGTATTCCCGAGTGTAGCTCGGGGTTACTGCTTGTGGTACTGAAACTTTACCCCGAGCTACACTCGGGAATACCGCCAGGGAGGTTAAATGATGTTTTTGTAAGTTGTTAAAGACTGGTGAGTAATGATGAATGTTTGATAAAGTGTCTGGACAAGTTCTTAGACAGATAGAAGCTGAAGTGTAACTGAAAAGCATAAAGGTGGGCAGCCAGCCATAAAGAACCCTATAAAAATGTGGCCTGTAATCAATCTAATCAGAGCATCTGATGGGCAGGGCATGGGTGCTCTCATACAGCTGTATTATCGCGAATATATGATCCGGAGCTCTCGTCTGTAAATCCCAGTGTATATATACCGCCATTTGTAAACACCATAACTTTCACGTAAACCAATTAATTTACACGTAGAAGGCAGGCCATAGATGGGCCGTTTATCAGCTGAATTTTCGGCCAACAAATGAAAAATCGGTCGGGCCCCGTTGCCAATGCTGCCACCCATGATTTTCCAGCATGACCGATAAAACTAAACGAGAAGATCCACGGAAAACTGCGTGAATATCGGCTGATTTTTTCGTGCGGACGAAAATTTGGCCGATAAACGACCCGTCTATGGCCTGCATTAGGATGTTGCAGAATACATTTTGGCATAAATTTCTGATGAAGTCAAAAATATTGTTTTTATTTTTTTTTATAAATTGACGCTTTTTTATTAATATTGCAAAAAATAAAACATGTAGAAGTGATCATATACCACCGAAAGAAAGCGCTATTTATGGGGAAAAAAAATCGGACGTACATTTCATTTGCGTACAGCGTTGCATGACCGCGCAATTGTCAGAATAATGCAGCGCCGTATCGCACATAATGGCCTGGTCAGGAAGGGAGGGGGGTAAATCCTCAGGAGGGCAAGGGGTTTAAACAGACGCATGATATGATCCGCACCCCTGGCACATCTTGGCGTGTATGTCCCCAACTACAGCACCATGCAACACCATTTAAAAATAAAGAGCCGGCGAAGTTTTCCTCCTCATTGAAACGAATAGGCTGCCCTACCAACGTCACACGCGCAGATCTGAAAAGAGCCTCACCATGAATGGCGCAGCATTCTCTTGTGATTTGGCTCAAACACAGGCCCTAAATTCACGAGATGTGGCCCTTTGGAGGTGTCAGGGGCCCCTGAATGGAGACAGTTGGCCCTCACTGAGGTGGCAGGTTCTCTTCAGATGAGGGGAGATGGCGGCCTAGCAGCACACAGGCTCAGTGTACACTCCTCATCCATCTTCCTCCTCTAGTACATACCTGTACAGGGCCCCAGAGTGGAGCCGCACAGCTCCCAGCCTCACACAGGGCAGCGCCATGACAGCCAGACCCCGGACTCATCCACTCACACAGGAGATGGGGGGGGCGGAGCACTTCCTTCACCACTTCCCCGCTCCTCACCACGGCTCAGCTCTCCACCCCTCTGTGTCACACATAGCCGTCTGCTCCGTTCTATCAGTAGACATTTCCTCTCCAGTCTGTAAATGTCATCCGTAGGCACTCTCCCCCCACCCGGCATTCTGTTGGTACAGTCCACTTCCGGGAGACACAGACATGTGCGTCTTGTGTCCTTGCTAGTGTATGGGACGGTGCACGGGGTTGCAGCCAATCAGATCGGGCTGTGGGTGACCCTTGTTTCCATGGAGACGTGTGTGGCCAGCTGAGTGTCTCTGGCAGTATTTTGGGGTCTTAGTTATTTCCCAGCCCTGATATATTATGGAGGGGCCCAATGCTATGGAGAGGTCTGCTTCACACAGGTGTACTTAAAGCAGAGCTCCACCCAAAAGGTGAAGGCGGAAACTCTGCTTTAAGGACTGCTCCCCCCCCCCCCAGCTCCTTGTTAAGGATTGCCACCTTTAGGCTCAGTTCACACTAGCTGTGTAAGCAGGCGTTATTAATGCTCCTCCAACGCCTATGAAAATTCGACACATGGCAGCACCCAGTGCTGTTCACACTGAACAGATAAATAAAAGGAATGCACTAATTAAGTAAATAATACAAAGTGAATATAAGAAAAAAATATAAAAATAAAAAAATTATGCAAAAAAAGTGTCCATAAATAATGTCCAAAAAAGATTTTTAATTAATGTCCACACTATGTTAAAACCACCACAAAAAAATGTTTTTAAATCACCCAACCGAGCTCAAAAAATAAAACAAATACCTTTTTTCGCTCTGGGCAATATATAACAAATCAGTTCTTGAATACAATACTGTGTAAATCAACAAACAAATTTTCCTCCAATGAAAAATATTACTGTGTGAATCAACGACCGAATTTTCCTCAGATGAAAGACCACCATTCAAGGATATAGCAAGGATATATCGCAATCCGATTCTTAGATGCGAGAAACGAACAAATTTTCCTCAGATGAAACTCCACCATTCACACTGAAGCAGTAGCATCGCGGCAAAATTGACACCTGGAGTTGAAGCCTTTCAACGCCTCCCATTCAAGTCTATGATGACGCACCTCACAAGCCTGGCAGGCGTTTGCGGGGCGTTAATACCATTAACTTCATCATAGGCGTTTGTGGTACGGTCTCAAAGCCGCGCATAGGGCATTTGGGGAGTATTAAAAACGCTCCTCAAACGTATGTCAAATGCTATAGGGGCGTTTGGGAAGAAGTCAAGTGTGAACAAGCCCTAAGGCTAGGTTCACATCTGTGCGGGTGGTACTGCTGCAGATCCGCACGAAATCCCGTGTAGCTGCACCACCCTCACAGAGAAATGCGGACCTGCGGGAGGGTGCCATTAGTTCTAAAGGCACTCTGCCTGCACTGGAAAACGCAACTGAACTGGGAACTGAGGTTCCTGTGTGAGCTGCGTTTTTGGAAGAAGTGCAGGGACTTCTTTCCTACTGGGCACGGGAGTCCATTCAAATGAATGTGCTCTTGTGCCCGTGCAAAATGCAGCCCGCATGGCCGCATAGATGTGAACCGGGGGTAAGGGAGCCGGTACCCGAAATTGACAGGTACCTGCTCCCCCTTCCACTGAGATCGTCCGCTGTCATCACCCCCTCCCTCCCTGTAGTCTTCTGAAACACGTGACAGGCCCCAGAAGACTACGGGCCATTCGCAAAGCGCAGCACTTCCCGCTCATGCGCAGTGGGCACCCGGCTGTGAAGCCGCAAACTGTCACAGCCGGGCGCCCTCACTGAAGATGCCGGTGCCAGGAACACAGGGCTGCCAGTAAAACGGGGTGCGGGGAGGACACCGCGAGATTGAGGCACAGGTAAGTGGCCGTTTTTTAAAAGTCAGCAGTTACAGTTATTGTAGATGCTGACTTTTATATTTTACAGTTTCACTGGAACTCCACTTTAACCACTTGTCCTCTGGAAGATTTACAACCCCCCCCCCCCCTTAATGACCAGCCCATTTTTTGCTTTTCAGCACTGCACTACTTTAACTGACAATTTGCACAGTCATGCAATACTGTACACAATTGAAATTTATATAAATATTTTCATTCTTTTGGTGGTATTTGATCATCTCTGTTATTTAGAAATTTTTTGCATTATAAATGAATTTACGTTTTGCTATAAAACATATGCAATAGCAAAATGAGAAAAAATGTCATCATAAATTTAGGCCAAAATTAAGGATGTACTGATACTAGTATTGGTGCCGATACCGAGTATTTTCACAATGACTCCTGATACCAGAAACCAATACTTTGTGCTGCGATTTGCGTCAAAAACAAATCGCCCCACAAAGATTAGCATGCGATTTGAACAGGAATCATGGGATACCTGCAGGGAGGTTTCCCGCACTGGTCCTGTGTGCTATGACAAGCCTGGGTTCACACAGGAGCAGTGGGGAAACTGCATGTGATTTGGACAGGAACTGCATTCCTGTTCAACTTGCATGCTATTCTTTGCAGTGCAATTTGCGTTTATACAATTTGTATTAAAGCAAATCACACAGCAAAGTATCGGTATCAGCGGTATCGGTATCGGTATCGGCGAAAATGGATCAGTGCATCCCTAGCCAAAATGTATTCTGCTTCATGTCTTTGGAAAATAAAATCCCTACAAGTGTATATTAATTGGTTTGTGTGAAAGTTATAGCGTCTACAAATGGCGGTATATATAACAGATTTTTTTTATTTATACTAGTAATGGTGGCGATCAGCGACTTATAGAGGGCATTCTGACACTAACAATGGGTGGAAATAGGCTAACTGTCACTGATATCCCCAGTGACACTAATACAGTGATCAGTGCTAATAAAAAGCACTGACACCTTACTAATGACACAGTAAGGGGTTAACATCTGGGGCGATCAAAGGGTTAACTGTATGATAGGGTTGTACTTTGTCGTGTTTTACTACAGGAAGTTCTTTATCTCCCTGTTTTACAGGGATATAAAAGCCAGTATGTGCCCGCTGACAGGAGAGAGATTTGTGTTGTTTACACTCAGATCTCTCCCCTGTCAGCTGCTCCACCAATCACCGAATCCCCACCATGAGTCACTGGGCAGTGATTGACATCTTTGGGAGCCAATCATAGCACATGTAGGGCGCCAGAAGGTTTGCTGTGACTCCCAGTACAGTCTCAAGAGCATGGAGGAGATTCCAGGAGACAGGCAGTTACTCTAGGAGAGCTGGACAGGGCCATAGAAGGTCCTCAACCCATCAGTAGGACCGGCATCTGCTCCTTTGTGCAAGGAGGAGCACTTCCAGAGCCCTACAAAATGACCTCCAGCAGGCCACTGGTGTGAATGTCTCTGACCAATCAGAAACAGACTTCATGAGGGTGGCCTGAGGGCCCGATGTCCTCTAGTGGGCCCTGTGCTCACTTCCCGGCACCATAGAGCTCGATTAGCATTTGCCATTGAACACCAGAATTGGTAGGTCTGCCACTGGCGCCCTGTGCTTTTCACAGATGAGAGCAGGTTCTCCCTGAGCACATGTGACAGACATGAAAGGGTCTGGAGAAGCCATGGAGAATGTTATGTTGCCTGTAACATCGTTCAGCATGATTGTTTTGGTGGTGGGTCAGTGATGGTCTGGGGAGGCATATCCATGGAGGGATGCACAGACCAGACAATGATACCCACAGAAGGTAAAAAAACCTTCTGTGCGCAGCAGCTCCCCCAGTCCCCTCAATACTTACCTGAGCCTCATCGCGATCCAACAATGTGAATGACAGCCTCGGCTGTCCCGGGTCTCTGCCTCCACATTGGCTGAGAGAGCAAGCGGCTCCCGCGCTGCTGTGGATCGCAGCCAGTCAGTCAATGAGGAGAGAGGGGGGTGGGCCAAGTCGTGGCTCTGTGTGTGAATGGACACATGGAGCAGCGGGTGCCCCCAAAGCAAGCTGCTTGCTGTGGGGGCACTCAATAGAGAGGAGGATCCAGGAGAGCCTGTGGGGAGACTTGAGAAGAGGACGATCTAGGCTGCTTTGTGCAAAACCACTGCACACAGCAGGTAAGCATAGACGTTTGTTATTTTACAAAAAAAAAAAGAACCTTTAGAATCGCTTTAAGAGATAGGGTTAGCGATAATTGATAGGGTTAGCAGTTCAACCCTAACCATTACCGCTAACCCTAACCCTAAATATTACCGCTAACCCTGATAATTACAGCTAACACTAACATTGACCGCTAACCCTAACATTACCGCTAACCCCCTAACCAACCATTACCGCTAACCCTAACAATTACCACTAACCCTAAATATTACCGCTAACCCTAACAATTACCGCTAACATTAACAATTACCGCTAACCCTAACAATTACTGCTAACCCTAACCCTAACAATTACCGCTAACCCTACCAATTACCGCTAACCCTAACCATTACCGCTAACCCTAACAATTACTGCTAACCCTAACAATTACTACTAACCCTAAAATTACCGCTAACCCTACCAATTACCGCTAACCCTAACAATTACTACTAACCCTAAATATTACCGCTAACCCTAACAATTACCGCTAACCCTAACAATTACCGCTAACCCTAACAATGACCGCTAACCCTAACAATTACCGCTAACCCTAACAATTACCGCTAACCCTAACAATTACCGCTAACCCTAACAATTACCGCTAACCCTAACAATACCGCTAACCCTAACAATTACCGCTAACCCTAACAATTACCGCTAACCCTTGACAACCAATTACCGCTAACCCTATACCATTACCGCTAACCCTACCATTAACCGCTAACCCTAACCATTACCGCTAACCCTAACCATTACCGCTAACCCTAACCATTACCGCTAACCCTAACAATTACCGCTAACCCTAACCATTACCGCTAACCCTAACATTACCGCTAACCCTAACAATTACCGCTAACCCTAACCATTACC